CTTCAGAAAATCAGCTTTCCTGCTCCTCTGATGCTGCTTGGCCTGCTGTGTTCATCCAGCTCTACACCTTGTTATCCCTTTCTTTTAACCTACCTTATGTTCTGGTCGCCCTGCTACAGAAATGATGTTATTAAACTGGAAAGGGTGCAAAAATGATTTACAAGGATGTTACCAAGATTGGAGGGCTTGAGTTATAAGGAGAGGCTGGATAGGCTGGGACTATTTTCCTTGGAACATAGGAGGCTGAGGGATGACCTTATAGAGATTTATAAAATCATGAGGGGCATAAATAAGGTAATAGTCAAGGTCTTTTCCCCAGGGTACAGGAGTCCAAAACTAGAGGGTTTAAGATGAGAGGGGGAAAATTTAAAAGGGAACTTAGGGGTAACTTTTTCACACAGGGTGGCATGTATTGAATGAGCTGCCAGAGGAAGTTGTAGATGCAGGTACAATTACAACATTTAAGACATTTGGACAGCTACATGGATAGGAAAGGTTTAGAGGAATTATGGGCCAAACTATGATGGCTCAGTTGTTAGCACTACTGCCACACAGCCTGAGGGACCTGGGTTCGATTCCACCCTCAGGTGACTGCCTGTGTGGAGTTTGCACGTTCTCCCCGTATCTGTGTGGGTTTCCTCCGGGTGCTCCGGTTTCCTCCCACAGTCCAAAGATGTGCAGGCTAGGTGGATTGGCCATGCTAAATTGCCCCATAGTGTTCAGGGATGCGTAGCTTAGGTGGGTTATAAGGGAATGGGTCTGGGTGGGATGCTCTGAGGGTCAGTGTGGACTTGTTGGGCTGAAGGGCCTGTTTCCACACTGTAGGGATTCTATGATCTAAAACTGGCAAATGGGATAACACAGTGTGAAGCTGGAAGAGTGCAGCATCAGAGGAGCAGGAAAGTTGATGTTTTGGGTTGGGATGCCTCTGTTGCTGCCTGGCCTGCTGTGTTCCTCCACAATGTGTTATCTCTGACTCCAGAATCAGCAGTTCTTACTATCCCTGGCAAATTGAACTAGTTCAGTTTAGGAAACTTGGTCGGCATAGACGGGTTGGGCTGAAGGGCCTGTTTCTGTGCTTTATGACTCTATAACTCCCACCTCCCTCAAAGTTCACAAAAATAAAACAAAAGCACAGGGAAGAGAAGGGTCCCTGACTCAATCTCTCACAGGCTGTCCTAGAATACCGAACAAAATCCTGTCTCTTAAAGTGATAAGGGATAGTCCGTACAGATTTGGTTTATCACCGCAGTGTCTGAGGTGTTAAGAGTTTCCAATGCTCAGCATTTGCCCTAAGGGTCACAGCTCGAATTAGTTCACACCATGGCCATAAGTGGGCTTCACTGTGGGATTGGCCTGTCCCTTTTAGTGGGTGCAGTCTGGTTAGTGTCTTGGCCCATTTTGTACAGTAAATAAGAGGAGATCGGAGGAGGGTGTAGGCTTAATACAGTGCCCATTGCAGACTGCCACTTTAAATAAAAGCATGTTAATCATTGCCCCTGTTTATTTTCAAACAAAACATTAAGAAGAGATTATCCTTTGTGGATAAAGGAACGGTGGATTTGGTTTGCTGAGGATTTGGGTGCACAAGAGACAGTCAATATGGCACTGATTTCCAATGAGATTTGAGAGCAGGCCGTTTTAAGGAGCTGTGTACTCCCTGTGAGGGCCCCTTTTAAGATCTATAGCACTGTCTCACTGCGTAAACATTTACATGTCAGGAACTGGTCAGTCTTACTGTAGGATCTAGCAAGTCTTTGTGCATTGTTTAGTCCTTTTCCCACGGGGGGCCCCCTCCCACCCCTAACCCCTTCAAAAGAAAATAGAGTTTTTTTTAAATTTTAGAAAAGGGGCGTTAAAAGTTGTCGTACCTATTGGAAATAAAATTTGAAATCACAGCGCGGGGGAGAGGGTAAAGGATGATCCTTTAAGCATGTTTACTGATGTCAGAATCTATAGGAACTTTTAGACGGGGGAGAGAACCCCTTTTAAGAGTTGTCATATTTGTGAGAGCCAAAGGAAGCTAACTTTATTTGGCTTGGAGCTTGGCTGCATTCACCAGGCTGCGGTCTTGATACTATTCACATACGAGCAGGATCAGTTATCCCTGAACCAGCTGATGTCAGCTCTTCTGAAACGCACCAAACTCGCTCGCTAAATAACCTGGCCCTGGATTTCACTAACTTGAAGTTCCTAACTTGCACGTTATTGTTAAACAACAACAACAACAAAATCCTGGATGGTGAAGAGGGGGGAGGGAAGAAGTCGGAGAGTGTTGCAGCCGGTGGTCTGGTCTCTGCCGAGCCTCATAAGGTAGGAGGTTTTTATTTGAAAATGTAGTTTTCACTGACCACATCAGAACGTTTAGTTTCCCACCCCTCTCTCCACCCCACCCACTGATGTTTGAGTTTAGATCAGTGCAGTGTGAAGGACATATCGCCCTAAGGGATATAGAGACCGAGTAAAGCAGAAACTAGCACAGAAAATCCAGACAATGGAATGCTTAACTCCAGAGATTTGAATTACCCAGTTATCCTGCTACCTCTTTACTGCCAGTCAGTTGTAGCTGGCTGTACCCGGTAGGTAACTAGACTTGATAATGTCTTAAGCAGTGTGTTAAATCGAGTGATTGCTGGCTAATCTCTGCTGATTTATCTTTTATAAGAAGTAAAACTTTATTCATATTATTCGTGATATTAAAAGGTCCATTTGGTAGATTAGACCTGTCATTCAGTCACTGTGCTTTCTTTTAGCTGGGTCTAATCAGCTTGTCAGAACATTAATGCTGAGTTTTCCCCTCCCCAAACTGAATCCAGATTTCATTTCTTGCTTTGAAAGTGTGTAAGCCAGGACTGAAGATTTCGAACCTGGTATCTGCTGTTGTTTTGAAGGTGAAGCTGCCAAGAAATGTCGGACACACATGTTGTGTGCATTAGTAGGTAATTTAGTAGCAATTTTCCAGTCCTTAGTGCCAATGATAAAGAGTGTCTGTTGACTACGTGAATACCAAACCTTTTTAAATAACAACTCATTCAGCCCACATTGAGGCATCATTGTACAAACATACATTAAATCCTGTTTCATTTTACCCTTTCAGCTGACACTTGCAGCTTGTTCCAAACTGCTGTACATCTTTAAGAATCTAACAATGAGCGGATCGTGTCTGAAGTTTCCCCTTCCTGTCTGAAATGTGTTCTTTTCTAGCAGAATGCAAAGTGATCTTGTGAGGCCAAATACTGAGTGTTGCATAACGTGCTGTCAACAACAAGCTATCTTTGCTCCAGAGTTTAACATCATCTGTGGATTTTCTTTTCTGTCTTCCATCTGAATGTTTGGAGTATTTTAGTATCTGTATCTGTGAGGGATGACCATCCCGTATCTCAAATTACATTAATATTTGAACTGGCTCGATCTGCATGTTGTGGGGGAAGGGCATGGAATGGGGTTCTCAATACTGTCTCCCTTTGGACAGGGCTTAATGTTGGCTTATTATTTGTGCAGTTTCTTTAGGCTTTTGTAGCAGAGAAATTACAGTACTCTCACATGAAGATAACACAACCTCAGGCATGTGAGGGGATTAACACAGAAACCAGGAACAGGCCATCCAGCCTTTCCAGGCTGCTGTGCCGTTCAATATGAACACAGAATCCCTACAATGTGAAAGCAGGCCTTTCAGCCCATCGAGTTTACACCAACCCTGCGAACAGCACCCAGCACCCAGACCCACACCCCGTACCCTGTATTTCCCGTGGCTAACCCACCTCGCCGGCACATCCCTGGACACTATGGGGCAATTTTTTGGCATGGTCAATCCACCCTAACCTGCACATCTTTGGACCACGGGAGCAAACCCACACAGACACAGGAAGAATGTGCCAACTCCACACAGTCACCTGAGACTGGAATCAAACCCAGGTCCCTAGCGCTGTGAGACAGTGATGCTAACTACTGAGCTATTGTGCTGCCCTCGTAGTTGATCAGCGAACTGTTCCAATTTTCTTCCTCTATCCTTTGATCCCTTTAGGTTTAAGAACTATATCTACCTCCTTCTTGAAAATGTTCAATGTTTTGCCCTCAACTGCTTTCTGTGGCAGAGAATCCCACAGGCTTCACCACTCTCCTGGTGAAAATGTTTCTTCTCATTCCCAGCCCTAAATGGTCTACGCCGTACCCTTAGACTGTAGGTTCTGGACTCCCCGGTCAGTGGTAATATCCTTCCTGTGTTTACCCTGTCCAGTGCTGTTTGAAGGGCCAGTATCCTCCAGTGCAGACCCTGTCATCCCCTTAATGCTCCCCAGTGGGACCTCACCTCTTCCTTTATTGCACATCCACCGGTGTTAAAGTTTCTGACTTTTTGTGCCACCTGAAGTCA